GCAAATCGTCGTTAAAGCGCAGGCGCACTGGAAACCATGTGAATGAAATGTCTTATGTCCATATCTTTCAGAACTGCACGCTAAAATTTGGTTCATGGTCATATCATGGCCTCGCTTTGGACATCTTTCACGGTGGCCCGGGTGACACAAAGTCATTTATCGATAATGGAGAGTTCGTTCTTGTGGGAATGCCAGCAACAAAGCACATTACAAAATACAGATGCTGTCCGGAGCCTTACACATACTTAACGTATGACATTATCATACGTCGAAGAACAATGTATTACATTCTGAATTTCCTAACTCCATGTGTTCTTATGTCTGCGTTAACAATTCTCGGCTTCTTCCTTCCCGTGGAGTCGGGAGAGAGGATGAACGTAGGGGTCACCGTGCTGCTGTCGTTAACTGTCATCCTCCTACTTCTTGCCGAAGAGCTTCCGGCCACTTCCGAAGTCGTTCCGTTGATATCCCGATACTATACGATTACAATGGTTAACGTTTTTATATCGATTGTGTTTACATGTGTGGTGTTGACTTTTCATCACCACGCRCCGACGCCTCTCCCTGCTTGGGTCCGGTTGGTCATTTGCAAGTGGTTGGCGAATATCCTTAGAATCAAACGCCCCAAGAAAGAAGAAAGCGATTTCAAAAGATTATTCGGGAGCCGTAAAAAGAGAAATTCACTAACTAGCGACACYGAGGATAACCTTTGCAACGATGATATCTCCGAAGTCGCAGGCAACAACCATATATTACACGGCAAYGACAAGGGATCAAATGTTGTTATCTTTCCTTTAAAAAGAACTTCAAACTCAGAGGAAAGGCACGCAGCTTTCAGACGACGTATGACTAGTCCAGACAACACGCCAGCCAACGGTCTGGATGTGCTTATCTATCGCGCCCGTCAGGACGAAGAAAAAGAACAATACCGCGAAGAATGGCGCTTTGCTGCGCATGTTYTGAATCAATTCTTCATGTGGATTGTTTTGCTGTCAGTTCTTTTGAATTGCTTCGCGGTGATTGTTACAGCTCCATCTGCAAACTTAGGAACGTAGCGAATCATATATGAGTGGGATATCGTTTTGGAGTATGTCCATGAGAAAGAAACAGCAGCCTTTGAGCTAACACTACAAACAGCAGTAATAGAAGTAACGAAAAGTGCAAAAAAAAGTTATATCGTCTTGGAGGAAGACTCCATCGACAAGAAAGATCAGTGTTGGAGTTTYAACTACATCAATAGGATCATRTGGGAAATTTTGCTTTGAAAGAAAGACTTCAAAAAACTACAATGTTGATGCTASAGCAACATGGAGCATCATTGGAAGACTCTATACAATAGGGAGATAAAGAAGGCAGCTACATCACTTGTACGAATATTGAAATATTGARTTAGGGATATACGCACGTGGTATTCTTAAGGCAATTACGTTAAGGGTTTTCAATAGTTCATTAAGACAAACATTTACACGTCGTTTCAGTGTTACAATAGTAGTAAATATTTTTACAGCCTAGAATTCGCCTAATACATGTGGGAAAGGATTCCCGTCAATAAGCTCATTAAAGGACCATCACCAACCGTGATGYAACGCGGTCGTGGTTTGATTTTTCATATACARAAAATCGGCCATTTTGACTTCAAATATCCGCTTACATTCTGTTTCCATCGGTCGGTTTTAAGAGGGAATCTATCGATTTCTCCATTYATAGAGTATAAAGGGATAATGAAGAGTAAGTTTTTGCTCATCCAAAGATGTAATTTCMAGAATAATGAAAAAATCTCGGATGGTAATGGCCCTATGATGTTTCTTTTCTGCACTGAATGATTCTTATCCAGTGGGTAGCACTATTCCCAAACGTATAGCTTCCCTATGAAGCAATCTCTTACTGGAAATACAATTTTACTGCGTTGCAAATTAAAGAATCTCATTTTCCSATCGTGAAAATATAATGAGTTATTTCAGTAAGAGTAACAGTTTGCTTCTCACTATACGTATCCTATCGAATACAAGCTTCTAGAGTAAAATTAAGAGCTTATGATAAGTTGACTGCATAAGCACTGCGCATGCGCCATTTTCTAAAGCAAAGCATCATGGGAAATGAAGTTCTCACTATCAGTTTTTGTGTTTCCTTCATTAAAACGGCAAAACTACTTGCATTTTGGCAAAGAAAATACAAAAACAGAACGAGGACAAAGTATGCATTTCTTGAGAAAAAGCTTCGCCGCATAAACCGTGAAACAAAGATTTTTTTTTACCTCGTGAAACGTTATGTAATAAACTCCGTCTCAAACGCTGAAACTCACATGAAAAGAATTCAATTCTAAAATGATGAGAAAAAAACTGAAACAGAGGGGGGAGGATGGGAGTATTCTTACATTGACTTCGATACATGTGAAGTTCGTTGTTTGAGACTAACTTAAAGTATTCAAAGTAAAGAACAGAAAACGCCCATTCTTGTAATGTCTACCATCCTCGGAAACCCAAGTGTCGTGAGGGCCAGGGGTTGGTGTGAGAGGAATGGTCTTCCGAGGATGGATATTTAGTTTCTGCAAATAAAAAATACACTAGAAATAGATGCATGGGAAAATATAATTATTATCATGATGATTGTACAGTTAGTCTATTAATATCAATAATAATAACAATATAATGTAATTAATATAGATATATAAATATAAAGACAGATATATTTAATAGGTATTGATGGAATTCTAAATAAAACAAGAGCTGGTGATTTGTATCAAGTCTGGGAAGCAAACTAATGATAATTAATATCAATAATAAAAAGAATACTAATAAAGAATTAATAGTAATCCATGAGCTTATTTCATTTTGTTACACAGTCTAGAGTTAAAATGCTTAAAACGTGAAACAGTATTAGAGTGAGGCCATTAAACCCGTGAAACAAAATCTTCGTATTAAAGTGTGATAGTCAAATAGACACACACACACACACAAACAATACAACTAGAGCGTATTAGTATATCTATTTTATGATTTTACTTCACTTTAACCAAATAGTTATAAATAGAGAAACATAGTGTGGATAAGACAATATTAAACAAGGAGAATCGCAAAATTCAGTGCAATTTAGCACTATTCAATATCATGTTTTTAATGATTTCACGGCTCTAGCTTGTAGTACTGATATCTTATTTTAATTATCTAGTTAGTGTTTCACGGGTAAAATGTATGGCTCAAAGGTTAAGTGGTCATTACAAAGATGAAATAACCGAGAGGATGCAGTTTACCATTGACGATCAATAAGTCACGTGATCATTTCAGATGAAAATCACGTGACCGTGTTATAAATCATTTCGGCTGCTTAGTTGTCAGAATTTACACTCAAAAATTATTACGATGAAAGATAACAAATAGATTCAATGTTGCTTAGTGAACGAAGTTTAATTCACAAGAACTTTAATAAACGCTCCAAAAAAAGATTGGCAATAAMGCTTTGTARAAGGCGGCATCGCCGACACCATGCAGGGGGTGRCTKAAATAAAAAACTTCGTTAAAACAAATCATAACAAAAGAAAACAAAAGAACCCACGTCAAATTGCTCCTTACAAAGAAACAATGGACGAGTAGGAACGATATCGTAAATACAGTAATTCATGTTTTTCCATTTCAGTGCACTAAAGAGAGAAATAGAGAACTTCAGTCCATTCGATAATGGCATGATGGGAACAGTGACGAGCGGGGACTAATAACGAGATGACGAGGTGATAGACGCCAGAGATAGAKCGGTTATCACTTACGTAGCGCGAAAAATACAAGTCGACGCCATTGAAGTAACGAATCAATAAAAGTAATCAAAAGCGGTAAATATCCAACTTCATGGCCGTCGTCAGTTCTCTTATTTTGACGCCCTCTATCTTATTTTTTTAATGTGTAAGAAATTTTTTTTGTACYCTCACAATTTCCATGGAAACACCGATAATTGATCCCCCGCTAGAACCTGAGAGTGTGTTGCTGTATATTGAAATCTATAAGCGCCATATTTACTGATATAGCTACATAGATCAAAGACGAATCAAACTGAATTTGKTAGAAAATTCATAATCGTACAAAGTAAAACAAAACCACAAAAAGTTGATCTCACTAACGATGTGATTTCACACAATGAAGAAAAAGTGTTGAAATCAGTAGAAAAACAATTAAAACACGTCAAAGCGACTCGTCAAGAGAAAGCTTCCCTTCTAAGGAAAACAAATTTTCAAAGTCACGTTATCAAGAAAATCCCTGCCATTGTTTGATGTCATGAGTAAATACAAAGGGAGTGTTTATATGTAGTAGATAGAGCCCTGTGAACGGTTGTACGAAGGGTGGATAAAGTTATTTATACTCATTAGATTTTATATGRATTTTATCGGCTAGATAAAGATTTATCTGATGGATAGCACTATTCACACTTTGTACAATAAAATGGTGGAAACTAGCGGTAAACTAGTGTGAGCTGCGTCGGTGTTTCTAAAGAAACAGTTGTGTAAAAAGATTGAAATTTAACACCGTTAAGACTATACTGAAACGTCCGAAACGTCAGTAAGTTGTTTCACCTACTTCGTACAACCATAGTTAGTTGAYTAACTATAGTACAACAGGATATTTTATATGTTCAACCCTAATAAAATGAAAACAGAAAAGGTTTTTCTACTAGAGGACCAGTCATCCCACGTAAGCCCCTCCAAACTCGAATAGGCAAAACTTGCAAGTTTTTGTTCATTATCTTCAAATCAAGGACGACTTTTCGAGAAACCGATCTCGTGTTGATGTGGTTTATCGGATGAAAACTGCTTGAAAGCTATGACTGTCATACTGCGCGCCCAACTCTGAAGTCCAACAGAGCGAGTACACGTTACGTTTGCCGCAAATTAGATTTCTACTGCGATTCGACCATGAAGACGCAAAATATAGCCGATGGTCCCTTCCAGTTGTGACATAAATGTCATAACTGTCCCTAAAACTTTGCTTTAGATTTGTTTACGTTATAGGAGCTATACTTGGAAATTATTAAGTACATTTTGGACTGCTTATTACGTCACTAGACGCCATATTGGACTGTGTATGACGAAATATTAGTCGTAAAGTTTAAGCAGGTTATAAGGGGTTTTGAACTCCGTTACCTAAAATATAACTTTAAAAATGTGTATAGCTTTATTATTCATGTTAACGTTTCACTCAATTAAGAATTTTACTACTGTAGAAGGAAATCCTSTTAATCCGAGAACTAATTAATAAATTAAGCACTTAACCGTGAATTTTAGTGTGAATTTAGGATTGGTGTTGGATAAAAATTGAAGCTTCTGCCGCGGGAAAAGGAACAAAAATAGAAAAAAAAAAAAAGAATGCAAGAAAGCTAAATAGAAAAAATAGAAACGGAAAAAAAGGCAAAACGAAAGAACGGGAAAGGTAACAACAGGTGAGAAGAGGAGATAAAATTGCAAAATGACTTGAGAAAATGAAATACTGAAAAGATGATAGGAAGAAAAAGAAAAACACAGGAAGATTACCAAGAGGAAAAACGTAAAGACGGAACGAACAGATTAAAGGGATGAGAACACGAGAAGGGAAGAAAATGAAAGAAAGACAAAATAAAAAAGGAAGAAATTGAGAAAGACAAAACACAAAAGAAACAAGGAATGATAATTATACACTTTGCCCTATGATACTTGCAAGCCACTTGTTTTGCTACTAACAAAGGACTAATTAATTATCTAATTGAGCAAATCAGATAAACATATCTCATCTTATCTTACTACTGGAACGATTAATATCAAAATACTGACGAAACCGATTAGAAGATAGCAATATAAAACCAAGGTCAAACGATTTATTATTTTTCGTTCCTACAAACCATGTTATAGAAAAGGCTTAGCTCTTAAATCATTGGATGAGGATATACTCTGGCAATTAGCGTCGTGATAATCAGATTCTATGAAAATCTTCAGCCTATTCTAAGCCAAATAAACAGATTAACACGGCSGCCAATCAGAGACTTAGACAAAAAGCGCCATTAAAAAAGTATGAGTCGTTCTWAATGCTTGTGAAACTAAAATTGTACTCACTACTTCWTCAAAGGGCATCGTTCGATATGATGCCGTTCGCGTCTGCGACTTTTGGCGATATCTGACGCAAAAGTTGGGATCTTTTTTTGGCGGGAAAACCGACCCACTGTGGTTAGTTTAATCATTGGGCTAATCAGCCACGTTTGGCATCCAAACCAAAACACCTGTCGAAACCTTATAACGGCTGGATTCGCGAGCAACGTGCGTACAAATCGCTATAGACCGACGTAAGTTTATGGCAAAACGTCGTCGCACTTCAGCKCTTATTGACGCTGATATGGAAAATATTACAGCTGAGGATCGCTGGATAAATCCTACWTCAATTACAAGGACTATGTGATTCTATAGCTTCGACGACATTGACTAAGCTCAACTGGCGATGAATTTATTATATGGATGGCTTGCGACCAGTTTAGGTCTATTGTTTTGTGTAGGATCTGCAGTAAAAGGTGATATTGTAGTATATTATTATTAGACTGGYTCTTGGTTTTCTAGGTTTACTAGTTTTAGGACATTTTGTTCATTTTAGATATGGTGATTTATTGTAGTGATTTCTTCATAGGGGGACTTTCCGAAATGTTATTGTGTTTTCAAAACAACTGCTTTAAGAAGATTAGTCGGAGACGACTCTYATGAAACCTTCAAACCAATTGTCTAAGCCCTGCTATTTCTTCGACAGTTTCCACGTCTTTAAACCAAAAAAAATCCGAATTTAATCACACGAAATAGACATGGATTTATCGATAGTTCGGACTAATATTCCCTTAAAGTATAGAAATTCTCGAATTGATTTCAATAATTCAACAATATTTCAAAAAAATCTCGAATAACATTAAGAGTCGCGCAGCCCATATTCAAGGTTTCCACCTTCCAATAATACTTAAGATATAGTTAATTTCGGTACTCTAAGGTTACTTATGGCAATTATAGTTCTAATGGTTAGTACCCTTACAAGAAAGAACCAAGATTATTATAGAGATTTTTGTCACTTTGAAGCTAGATTAAAATTGTTATTAGCTAAGCTTGAAAATGAGACAAAGATGTTTTCATCGACCACCTACGATTTGCGTCTGAATAAAAACGAATAAGATTACCAAGGATATTTAATAAGCTTAATGTACAAAGATGTACAGAGAGCGAGCGTCGGAGAGTATCATTCAAAAATATCACTCCCGAGTGCATATAGTCTTGCTTTAATTCAATTATTCAGATTTTGTGAAAAGCRGATTGGAAAGCGTCGAACGCGGTTAGRAATATCAAGCAACATTTGAAGAAATCTACTAAGGAGTGTCACAAAGATAAGAACGGCCTTTATAAGCTTGGTTTGATAATAAAGTAATATAACAATTGGATTGAATTCATAATCAGTCTCCAATAAAAATAATATCGGATAAAATCATGTCAAAACAGGATCCCAACGACATATAATTGGGCGGGTAATTTGTGCATAAACCAGGCCAYATACAAGCTAAATCGATCGCCAGTCTAACCAGAGAACATAACATATTCACAGCCAAAACCCAATATGCAAGTTCTTGAATTGTTTTGTAAACAAGATGGTCAAAACAAGGAGTCCCTAGCGCGATTCAAAAATCATTGGCCGTTCTTTATAAATATTCAAAGGCTCTCGAAGGTTAATTGCAACGAATTTCCTCATTTCGTTGCAATTGGAGAATTATCATTGCCCGTTTTTTAACAGAGTTTTAGCAAACACGCAATAAAAAATGTTTCGTTTTTAGAGCATTAAAACTAAGAACGCAGTTCAACAATTAGTTAAAGCAATTATTGGCTCTGGAACCCACATGTTAATCCTATTATCCAATTCCTCAATTCAAACTATTAATAAATCCGGCAAACCTCAGCTAAAACGGACGCGTTCGAAATACAGGGGATGTCATTTTAAGGAGATATATAATATCAGTCGGTTTGTAGTATAGAGGTTGCATAAGAGGTTCAGCAGGTATGGTATAAATAAATTGCAGGTTGTAATTAGTTCGCCATGTTTTTTGAAAGCTTGGTAGTTTTGGTGATGATGTTGTTTGTTTAACGTACATAATMCAAATCTTGCATATTTCATTCTTTCGCTATAATATTTTTATTTCCTTTCCATTCACTTCATATAAATGAAATCTCATCCCAATTTTCACATATTTTCCTTACATTCTACTGAGTTCAAACTTGTTCTGAGTTCAAGCTTATTTTTTTCGGCCAAAACAATACATATCGCAAGAAAAGAAAAAACTAATCCCCACACAAATCTTCACACGCATAAACTGCGAAAATTCACAAAACATYTCAGAACAAGTGCTAACTTACAGTAATTGATAAAATTGAAGTTTGCTACATTTTAAACTTTGGCTTCACATACACTATAAACCSATCACAATTTACAAAAGCTTATGCCTMATGCCTACTCATAACCTATTGCCTAATTGTCGATTTTGACCTCTTAGAATACGATGGTCAGTCTCAAATAGTACAGCATTTAGAAGAACGCTTATTCAAAACTTATAACCGAGACGTACTACCAAAGGAAATGTTGCATCAAGGAGTCCCAGTACGGTTGGATTTAGCACTGAACCAGATCATCAACGTGGTAAGAAAATAAGGCCTCGTCAATAATGATACGTTTCCGTAGCGATTTGGCACTGGCTTTCATTCCCTTGAGAACAAACAAAAAACGCTACAAAAGACGTGAGGCCTCGTCCACATTGATGCATTTCCGTAGCGTTTTTGCATTGGCTTTCATTCCCTTGAGAAACGCTACGAAAACGTAATGCCTCGTCAACACTGAACGTTTCCATGGCATTTTTCATTGTTTTCCGTCGAGAACGAGCAATAAATAACGCTACGAAAAACGTTGATTTGTGCACTTATTACAAGACATTGCTTCGTTTTTATAGAAACATTACGTCACTTTAACATACTTGTGACGTCAGGTCTTGACGTCATATAATTTTAGGTTTCCATATTCAACATAAATCAGACAAATAGATTGATAAAAAAGTAACTTAAACAAAAAGTTAATAACATCACAATAATACAGCAGTTAATATAAAAGAKTTTGTACTCACAACGCTTGTCCACGCTTGATAGCAAGTACTTGCAATAAAAATGAGTGCTGATCGAAGGAAACATGGTGTATGACCGTTCAGCCCCTGTGTAAAAAGAAGAGAATGACTTAAATGCTTTTTATTTTAGGATAAAAGAGCTCAAACGATGAAGTCAGTTATATGGGTGAGACAGGTAGGAAAAATCCCAATATCAACATGATATTTGTACATTTACGAGAGATTTCCGAAGGGAAAATCGAGACGTAATCTAAAATCGCGCAAGATTTTTAACGAATCCCCAMACTTTCTCTGTGCYATAAAGTGATGGCATCCTTTTTCATAAAAATGAGAAAGAGCACATTGCAAGATCCATTGCAATACGCTCACCATTCACCTTGGTTCGCTGCAAAGTCATCTCTCAAGACGACAGAAAAAAGTAATGTTGTGCAACTCTTCAATGACGAACAGTATAGTATCCCACAATAGTCTCCTACACGGTTCAGTTCGCAATATTGAAAGCTAGCCGTGCCTTTACATCGAAGCGAGACAACCGTTAAGCGTGCAATGATAGATATCTGCGAATAATTGTCTGTAAGTTTGAAAGAAGGTTTCTATCATTGCACGGCAAAGGCACGGCTACCTTTTAAGATGACGCTCTGTGCTCTGTTTTCCAGTACTGGAAAGACACAAGATTAAAATGGAACGCAACAGACTATGATAACGTCACAACGATAGTAACCGAGGCGTCAAGAATATGGCTGCCTGACATTACTCTTTACAACAAGTAGGTCTTAGATTAGAGCCTGTTTCACTTTCTGCCTTCTGTCTTGTCTAAAGTGAATATTATCCCAGAACCCACGCTCTTCTTGGCCTGCGCCTGGAAATAATCGCATGCGCATTGAATCCAAAGCATTGGGCTCTGAATAAAGAAATAAAATGCTGGGCGGATTAATAGCGTACGCATGTTTGATTTCATAAAGATTGGTATAAAATGCATGGCAAATTAATACCGCGCGCATGCGTGATTTAGCGYATTTACTTTGCGATACTAAATCCTTTTATTTAAAATCTCGTCTTTTTCTAGTGCAAGAGATGATTATAAAATGCAAAAAGAGACATCCCATAGTTTATCGATATCATCTGACGGGTCAATAGCACGCTTCTTCCCTACTATTTATAAAAGTTCCTGCAGGATGAATGTGAGACATTTTCCWTTTGACGACCAGGTAGGTCAACTAAAACGAGCCTAGTCAACAGGCTWCTCTCTTTTTGAAAGCATGTCGTCATACGCGYAGGTCCGCACCCTGAATATATCGCAAATTTTACTCTTTTACTTTCTTCTTTCGACAGACGTGCGTACTAAAGCTAGGATCCTGGTCCTACGATATCTACGACGTCAACCTTACCAACGAAGGAGACGGTGACTTAAACTCGTTTATTCTCAATGGYGAATGGGTTCTACGGAGCATGCCCGCCGAGAGACATGAGACAAGATTCCGGTGTTGTCCTAATCCATATGTGTATGTGTTATACCACATCCATATYCGTCGACGGTCKTTATACTATCTTATTAACTGYTTYACGCCTTGTCTTATCATGTTGGCTCTAACTCTACTCGGATTTTAYCTACCGTCGGAGTCTGGGGAAAGAATGGGTGTTGGCATTACGGTTTTGCTGTCACTTAGTATTATTCAACTTATGTTATCYGATTCGTTGCCGCCMAAYGAGGAAATTCCTCTTATAGTCCGTTATTACGGACTGACWATGTTCAATGTCTTCTTRTCGTTGGTTTTTACGTGCATTGTTCTCAAACTCTACCACAACAAGGGCAGGCCTCTCCCTGAATGGATCAAGACGTTGCTATGCAACTGGGGCGCCTGGYTAGTGCGCCTGCAAGACGAATGGACACTGCTCCAAGAAAAACGAGAAAACATAGAAGCGAAGTTTAAACGAGCATACATTATGTGTGAGAATGATAGTGTAGACATTCTGCCACCTAAGTACAATGACTTATCGTTTGGACAAAATGGCGATACACTAAGTGCAACGACATCAGCGATTTCATCCAGTAAGACTCTACACGCTCCTGGGAAAAACACTATCACTACTTCCAAGAAATTTGAACGATTTTTACTAAATCAGCACTATCATGAGAACATTGATGCTTTATTGAAAGACGAATGGAARTTTGCTTCAAAGGTTCTTAATAACGTATTTAAGCTGACAGTAGGTGCTTCAGTATTCATAAACTCYATAGTGGTATTTTCAGAGGCGCCGATAGACAACCTCTTTGATTGGCTGCCGAAATAACGACGAAAGAAACCAACAATCGATATCAGTTCGGAAAATTTTRCGACTCCGAGCAATTCCTTCTTAGGAAGGGCTTCTTYTTTCGATATTCGTAAAATCGGAAAAAGTCAAACTAAGCCCAAGAGAAATKGCCAATYCCTTCTTAGACAAAGGGTTTCTTCACAGTCRATAWTCAGAAATTAGCTAAAATGAGCACAGAAGAAGATGGGCTAACATTCTGGTACCTAGCCTGAGTTCATAAATAAACTGGATGTACGCAGGCTATCTGGTACCCCGTCATTCAGATTCTATAAGRTGGAGAAGCTCTGGGTACGAGAATGAGTGTTAGACRAATTATTAGTGTACAMTRTCGGGAAAAGAAAAGAAAAATATAACTTGAGAAGTCCTGTATATATCATGTGGCCATGCRCAYGCCATTTTACAATTGGCTTAACCAGTCTGTAACCTGTATGGCTTAAAATACATAATACATGTAGGYAGAAGAAGCAGAACAAAAGAAAGAAGTCTTCTTCATTCATTTCAATCCCTAAATCTATAGTTTTTTGCGCATATGCTGAGGTCTAAGTGTGATGTGTTCCCTTAACCTGAAAAGCCCTACAGTGACTACAAATAAATAATTTAGCGTGTATTTAAGTGAAGGCAAAGGAACTGAACAACTAAGTAATGTCAAATAATAGCTTATTACACAGGTTAAAAGTGATGAAAATAAAATAATTTTCATTGGTTTAGTGCCAGACCTCCACCCAGAGGTTGGAATTTACCTTATTTTCATTGTTCACTTATATATACAACACCAAGCACTGTTCCTTTTTATGTCATAATGCTGCAAAAGTTTAGGCTTCAAAATCACAAAACTGAGAGTGGGTAACTATATCCAAACTTTGGTGCCATCCAGGGCTAGGTTGTTCAAAGCCTGATTAGAGTTCATCCAGGGTTAACTCCATAAGTTCTTTTAAGATTTAACCCAGGGTTAGCAGCAGTCTAGCTTTGAAAAACCCAGCCCAGGGTATACCAGTTTAATACTTTCAATACCTTTAAATGATGTCAACAGTTTACCGCTTGGAATGTCTGCTACGGAGGCTATTATCTTGGTAGGTTTCTTGTCCAAAACAAGTTCAGTCTTCTTCTATGATGAATTGTTCCTCCACAATTCCTTGTCAATGTATAACTGTAAATTGAAATATAACATTTTGCAGTTTTGTCAGTTCTACCAATTAAGTCTAACATCTTTTTTTTTCAGCTGTGTCAGTTTCAAGTAAGAAGTATCCTAATACCTAGCTCCTTCAGTGAAATAGCAAGATTCACTGCATGGCTATGCTGCCAACCTCTAAGCCAGCAAAAAAACGTTTCTGTACAGCCCATGTTGTGATTATGTTTGCAGAGTTTTGTTTTTATTTTTAGGTTCCATATTAACTGTTAAAAAGTAAGTAACACTTTCTTGTAAAAGATAAGATCATATTAAGCTTATTATTACTTATTTTTCAGAAGGCGTTTCGAAGATACAACGAGAACATAGTGATCTTGACCACCTAATGTCACACAAATTTAGAGAGAAGAAAAGATGACAATGTTATTTTCGTAAAAAGCAGAAATGTGCTTTCAGGAAAGCTTCATCGACTGAAGAGCTATTTATAGCTTAAAGCTTCTCAATTCCAACTTTTTCAGCACAACGAGTTGTCTTTCAGACATTGAAATGCATAAATATCGGTTTTGTCGATTAGAAATTAAGGTTTAAATAAATATTTAGTTTTAAAGAATCTCATTACCTTAAATATGGTCAAAATTCTTTGGGTTTCTCTTCCTTTGCTTGAGTTATGAAGCGAAGCGCTCTCTCCCGCCAAAATTACAAACGCGGCCGCACAGGCAAGACACAGGAGCCCCAAAGCAGGTATAAAAGTTTTTAAGAATTAATATAAACGTCATGAGCTTTGCATCATTCTTTCAATAATTAAGCTTCAGGAAATACCAAAAATTGCATAAAAAGCTTTCATTAAATGCGTATTTGAATTTCTAATTTTCAGTATTTTTTCTTTCTTTTGTTTTCCCCCGAGGAGCCTGCGATATATCCCAGCGGTAAGGCTCACAAAGGAAAATAGCCGCCATCTTGTTTTTTTGGCGTCGTTTTGTAAATCAAATTTAAATTTCACYTAAATGTTTATTTTTCTCTTGATGTCTTGACGAAATGCCCAGAGAAAGGAAGCTGCCAGCAAAACTACGTGGTAGGATATGCTTTGTTAATTGTGCTGATTAATTTTATCTTGTTTCAACTGTCATTTTGGTCACTTTTGACGATAATTTCGTGACACAGGYTTACTACACACAAGTGACCTGTAAGACAATGTCAGTGGTCAATATTTAAAAGCATTTGGCGTCTTTCTACGTCACTTATGGCATAAAATGATGACATAATATTGTAGTTTTAWGATCAACTCAGGCTTGGCATACAATGTTCAGTGATTTGTAAGTTTGAAACTTGACTGTATTGTGGACCCTTGATGTTTTGTTTGTGTTTTTTTGAGGAAGAGGATATGCTTTGTTTTGACTCTTTATAATCTAATTAACTTCCACTCGACGCTGCTTCACGAAGAACATTTTTTATGATGTTGTTATGAATTCATAAATGGAAATTCAAATCAAGTGAAATCATCTCTTAAAAAACGATGATCTTCCTCATTTATTGTCACACAACACTAAACTGTTACTTTACATTGTAAGTTTAGTCCTAGCTTGTGATTTCAGTGAGCTTACCAAACAATTCAAGATAGGCAGCTTTGTCTTCAGTCAATCAAAGAAATATATATCATTAAGATTAAACTAAAAAATCCATATCTGCTGATGTGTGCATGCATGCATGTACTCATGTACATGATGAGTGGTCTCAATGTAAGCTTAAACGTTCTTGACAGTATATGAGTGGAACACTTTTTAAGAAACATTTTGCACAAAATTACACTAACCCAATAATGGAAGACATAGAAATGTATCAACATTTTGTTTAAAGGGATTTCATCCCTAATTATATCCATTTTGAAATCACAAGTGAATTCCTGCAATCTTATTGGTTCTTAGAAGGTTGATTTCATCCTAAATCGCACTTGAAGCAAATATTGTATTTGTACGAATTAATAAAATTTTGTGCTGTACAATGTGTTAGATTTCAATGTGTTAGATTTCTTTACTCCGACGAAGGATTAACATCCGAAACGTCAGTAAGTTTTTCCACATACTTTTTTACGGTGTTAAATTTATCTTTTCACATAACTGTTAGATTTCAAAATGGATATAATTAAGCGGTAATTGAACTTTGTGTTGTGCAATTTTGGTTCAAAATCAAACTTGTGATTACAAATCGCACTCCCGCTATACGGTCATCCGATTTTGAATCATGCATTTGATTTTGCACTTTTTTGCRCTCCWCTCAAGTYCAATTACCATTATTAATAGTGATTACCTTCTAGCCCGTGGTATTTTGGGTCATTTAAAAATATAGAAGACAAAGTCAGCTTTTTTCTTGTATATAATAAAATGTTATAATCTTTTCTTCGGTGGTTTAGATTCAGCTACAATGGAAGACCTAGATGCCGCTGAAGATGAAGGACTGGGCTCTGCTCCCGATAGTCCTTTGAAACTCCAGAGAAAAGAGTCCACTTCAAGCTCATCCGATATGGCAAGTCCAGGAGAAAAATACAGCTACCATGTGAACAATACCACTAGTGCAATACATATGCCGCAAATGGGTAATATATCACATGTACCGCCAAGTTTAAATCAAAATCGTTACCAAGGGCAAATGGTAAGGAATGTGTTTTTGTGGTTGGTTGTATTGAGGATAGTAGCAATATCTCTCAAATTATTATTAAGATATTGAATCCTTATTAACTTCTATACCGCATCTATAAAATGGTTAGCTCTTACATGGGTATATAGCAACATGCAGAAATCAGATCATTTTGACTCATATTTCAAGTATAAATATCAGAAATTATGGGATATCATCAGATAATCAAGACAAGTTGTCTAGCATTAGCTCTTCCTGAAAAAATATTTGTTATGATATCCCATAATTTCTGATGTATTTTATAATATACTTGAAATATTTCTACCTTTCTGCATATTGCTGCAGTATATAATACATATAATTATATAGAGTGAAGGCATTGATCCTGTGAAATAAAAGTTAATAATTAAACTGTAATAGTCAAATAGACACAAAAGAAAACAATGGAATTATCGAGTAATAACATGTAATAGTCAAATATGTATTTCACGGGTTCATTGACTTCACTCTAAGGTAAATATATAAGGTTTTTTCTGTTAACTACAGTTTCAAGGCCCAAACAATGGATCCTCAATGCCGTCACTAGCAGAACCTGTTTACCCTTGTGGAATCTGTCAAAAAGAAGTTGATGACAATGACGAAGCTATCCTGTGCGAAACAGGGTGTGGCAAATGGTATCACAGAGTATGCACAGGTCTTACAGTAGCGGCRTATCACATGCTTACAAACTCAACCAGTGCTGAATGGGTCTGCAATAGCTGTATAGAAACTAAGAACATTCCTCTTGTCAAGCTAACGAGTTAGGGATTTATAAACACCTGTATATATCATATTATTAATACCTTTCATATTTTAGTCGGAAAAACTGAAGGAGTGGTTAGAGGTCTCTGTAATCGCAGACTATTCAGACAAATATATCTGTGCACCAGCACAATAGCACAAAACATACCTCAACTCTCACTGTTAATGTTCTTTTTATCCTGAATATTGTACAGTATGAAAGAGCCTGTTTTTTTTAACATCAGGCAAAATGCAGCTCTTGTATCTGGAGTACAACAGTTAGTGGCCATTTTTATTAATAGGTCAAAATAACAAAGTTTTGTTTGGTGTCCAATGTGAAATTTCTGCCAAGAGTGTTTTAATCTATAGGTTCACATCTACCTTTTTTGCTCCATTTGACCCAGTGATATCTTGAACAGTAGCTAAACCATTCGACCAAAGACAGCATTTAAGCTTGCAGTGATAGATACATGTGCCTGTGAATAGATTATTCTCTTGGAAGTGAATATTTCTCTATCACTGCAGGCTACTGTCACACTTTGATGCAGTTACTTGTCAAGATGACACTGAGAAGTGTGTAAAAGGGAACATAATTTTGTCTCTTCCTATTACAAAGATTTTATATGGATCACATAATGGTTGTACAAAAGATGTGAAACTTTGTAATTTTGGCATCAAAGGTGCTTTTTTCCACTTACCAGAGTTAACTTTTACCATATGAATGTTCTTAATGTAGGAGAGATGAAATGAGTGCAAGCTTGAGATGTTACATATTAGTTGAGCAAGAGCAAGATTTGGTTACAAAACAGCCAACATAGAAAATTTCAGTTAATTGGCCATATTGGTGTACTG